GAACACCCATCCATTGCTGTCTACAAATACATGATACCCCATTGATGAACATGCTTTTTTACTAAACAAGATATTTCTACATATGTAGATGACGTTTATAGCACTTGGATTGGAACAAATTTCTTTTGGGATTTGAAATTGGAAAAGGAAAAGAAATGGGATTGGAAAAAAAAGGGCAAATTTGATAATTTAAAAGCTTACAACTAAATAAATTTGTTCTAATAAAATTTAATTATCTTGATCCAATCCTGAAGTAGCTCAAGTTTGTTCCTCTGCAAAGTTGTGCCTCAGAAAAATTTGAGTCCAAGATACACCAGTTGAAAATACACAGCGCTAGTTAATTGGTCGCTGGAGCAAGTTAAACCACTTTGAATTAAAAGTGAACAGGTTGATTTCTTACTGGACAAATTTGTACCAGTCAAAATGCAAAATATACCAGTTGATTTTACCCATTACATAAATGAATTTACAAATTTTCATACCATTCAGGTTCTGAACACACTTTGTGCTCATTTCTCCATACAATGCTCTAACATCGACACGTCTCTTCTTAATCTAAGCAAATTTTGTGCTTCCTTCTGATGTTTTGGAAACTATTCGCATAAAAAAAATTGACTTCTCACTTTGTTTTGGCTGCTTTTTGAAAACAGTGTGGTTAACAAGAGCATTGCAATTTTTATAATATTTTTGTACACGAAATAAAACAAAATGATCGATAATTTTGAACAGAACCATACATTTTTAATGACAAGACAAACAAAATGAGGTAAGTTTATTCCTAAATGGAAGAAATTCTATAGTCGGCAAAATGATTCTACGTAATATAATATATATACACAAATAAACCATAAAGGTTTCATTGTTTCTGCAATCATCCTAGGCATGTAACAGATAAACCATGGACTTGCACGCAATGCTTCTGAGGCTTATGGTGAAAGGGGTGATACTAGCAGTAATAATAGCTAGAGTTGCTACCACTCAAGGCATGCCTGGCTGCAAAGATAGATGTGGGAATCTCAAAATTCCATATCCGTTTGGGATGAGCGAAGGCTGCTACCTAAACGAGTCATTTCTGATCACACGTACCTACTCCAAAACGTATCTGAACGGTAATTTATCTGTCCTGAACATAGCACTAGAGGGTCAACTGCGAATTTTGTCCCCGATTGCCTCTGATTGCCAGCAGGGTCATTACACCACCAAGGATCAACAGCTTTCAACTAGTTTCCCCCTCTCAAGTACAAGAAACAAGTTCATTGCCGTAGGCTGTAATACTACAGGAGCCATCATTGTTTTTCTGGGGAAAACTTACACATCCGCGAGTTGCAAGTCTTTTTATAACATGACGTATAAATTAATCAATGGATCGTGCTCAGGCACGGGCTGTTGCCAGACCTACATTCCCAAAGGATTACGGGACTTCAAGATAGTGGTAGAGAACTATTTTAGCATTGTGGATGTATTCAACTTCAGCTCGTGCAGCCATGCCTTTGTGGTTGAACAAGAATATTATGACTTCTCATCACTAGATCTTTATAGCTACTTACCCAACCTCAATCCATTCCCTATGGTGCTAGATTGGGCAGTCGGTGAGACAAAATGTGAACAAGCTAAAAAAAACAAGACAGGTTATCTATGTCAGGAGAATAGCGAGTGCTATGACTGGGATGATGGTGCAGGATATCGTTGCAGATGCTCCAAGGGTTACCAGGGGAACCCATACCTCCCAAACGGTTGCAAAGGTACTTATTTTGTATATCGTTCTTCTGGGCTTTGGAGTTTTTGCACAAATATATATATATATATATATATATATATATATATATATATATATATATATATTATATTTTTTTAATTAATCGTTTTCAGATGTCAATGAGTGTGACGATCAAGGCCACAATGATTGCACACACATCTGTAGGAACACTGCTGGGAGATATGTTTGTCTTTGTCCTAAGGGTTACCATGGAGATGGCAGAAAAGGTGGACAAGGTTGCTTGCAAACTAAGGCCACTGTGGGTAAGTAAAGATAAAACTGTTTTGTGAACCTCATAGAAAGTAGTCTCTAAAATAATAAAGAAACATCTTGATAACACTACGCGAACCATTTAGTTATAAACTTGAATGCACTTGATAAAGTGCCTCTGTTTGAAGTAAAACGTGCAATTTTAAGAACCAAACACATGCTTCATTTTTTCTATCCCCCCAATCATACTATTTGTCAATTATAAGCAAAACTATTTGAGATTAATGTTTCACCCCACTTAAATATAGGCATGCGCATGAGCCTTGTGTTTATGTTTGTCATCATCTCTGTCTTTTATTGGGGAGTCCGCAAAAAGAAGATCATGAAGCGCAGAGAAACTTTTTTTAAGCAGAACGGTGGTATAATGTTACAACAACTGTTTTCCAACTGCAAAAGGAAAGGTTCTGCTCAAGGAGCCAAGATTTTTATGGAAGAGGAGCTCAAGAGAGCAACAAACAACTTCGGTGATGGCAATGTTATTGATCAAGGAGGTTATGGCACAGTTTATGCAGGAACTCTAAAAGATGATTTGGTTGTCGCCGTCAAAAAGTCCAAGGGGGTAGATCGAGGCCAAAATGAGCAATTCGTTAATGAGGTAGTTATTCTCTCCCAAATCAAGCATCCAAATGTGGTGAACCTCTTGGGTTGTTGCCTAGAAACACTAGTTCCCCTACTAGTATATGAATTTATCACCAACAACACCCTCTTCCACCATTTACATGATGAAGGTCGTGTATCCTCAATGCCATGGGAACTGCGCTTGAGAATAGCAGCAGAAACTGCTGGAGCACTTGCGCATATGCATTCTTATCCAATAAATATAATTCATAGAGATGTCAAATCTGCCAACATTCTATTGGATGATCATTACACTGCAAAAGTATCCGACTTTGGAGTTTCAAGATTGGTTCCTTTAGATCAAACTCAACTACCCACATTGGTGCAAGGGACATTTGGTTACTTAGATCCCGAGTACTTCTATTCAGGCTTATTAACCAAGAAAAGTGACGTCTATATCTTTGGAGTTGTCCTTGTGGAGCTACTAACTGGGAAGAATGTTCTCTCTCTAGATAGACCTGAAGAGGACAGGGGTCTAGCAATGTATTTCGTTTCTTCACTCAAAGAAGGTCACTGCTTCGAATCCTGGAGGATCAAGTGAAGAAAGAGGGACATGCTGAGCAGCTAAAAGGAGTAGCTGAGGTAGCAAAAAAATGCTTACGATTGAAGGGACGCAAAAGGCCTACCATGAAAGAGGTAAAAGAGGAGCTTGAGGCATCGAGAAACTCCAAAATCAACTGTGGATCAGAATTAGACCATATATATAAGAAATGAAGCCCTAGTTAGTGAACTATTCAACTACACACAAGCAATACGTTTAGTCTAAAAAACCCAACGTATAGAAGGTTGATGGTGGGCTAATAATTGGTCTTGTGGATTGCAGTAAGACACCAATATGCATACTTATCCTGAAAGAGAGAAATTTACTGTTTTCTTTATTGTAATCTTGAATTGATTTCTTCACAATCCCATACAATGAACTGTGTATCCATAAATGACTAAGATCATACATACATGAAAGAATCCCCGAAGTGATAGTTTCAGCTCCAAATTGTAAGACATTTTGATTTGCCCCGGCTTACTCAGAATGAGAAGTCCAATAAATCAGTCCACTGCAAAGAACAATATTTTTGTTATTGGAGAGAATGACACAGGAGGGCATATTTTTGTCCATCTCTTTCTGGTTGTGCTCGAGAATACTACATCATACAGTCATGAATGATGTGAGAATGTTTTCGAATATGCAGTGTGGTTACACATACGTGTGTGTGTGTGAGAGAGAGAGAGAGAGAGACATTTAGACCAATGTAACAGAAAAGAGACCCTGGCAATTAGAATGACATGCTCAGGCAAATGCCATCAAGTGCATTTAGCTTATGCAATCACATGCAGTTTATTTCACACTTGTACAGACAGATTGTCATACCAAACTCTATGTCCTAGCTCGATCAGTTGGTATGACATAATATTGCATAATTATAAGGAGAAGTATAACAAGAGTTTCAAATACTTTGATATAATGAGAAATGTATCATGTCTAGTTTCCAAAGTTCAAATCCATGCGACATAAATCTCAATTATTTCATGTAAAGTTTAATCTTATAAGTTAGAAACACAGAATATTTGATGGACACACGCTAATGTAAGGTTTAATCTCAATTGTAAGGTTCAAATACTTTGCTATTCAACTAATGATTAACACAGGCTCACAACAAAAGGTGATGGCTTGGTCAGGCAGTTCTTTCCCTTGTGTTATCTTATTTTATCCTTTTCCCAACAGAAGAGAGATATTGAAGATGTCTCTAATTGGTGCATGATGTATACATGATGGGGACAGCTTTTCTATGTTTTTAATCTATACAAACAAGTCCACAAACATAATTTTCAAAAAAGAAAAAAAAGAAAAAAAATGTCCACAGACACTCAATAATGTTAACTGGAAAAACGGAACACAGGAAGCAATCTTGAAGCTTAAAAAAAGGCAATTACCTGATCAACACGAACACACACTGCAAAACACCAGCAGTTCCTGTCCACGCTGAAGGACCAGTTTTCACAATTGAATCTTGAGTGAATAACCACCCTAACAATGCAACATGAGTAATAAAGATCAGGAAATTGCAGGTTGAAGATTGAGTCAATTGTGAAAACTGGCCCTTCAGAGTGGCTTAAAAAGATTCAATTGTTGGGATCAACAGAATTAATCCTCATTATTTTTGCAATTTCCGAAATTGCAGGTTGAAGCTCTGGCTTTTCCTTGCTTATGTTGCATCTTTTGTCTCTCTAGCGGCTTCAGTAGGTTAATTAACTCAAGATTCAATTGTGAAAACTGGCCCTTGCTTTTTTAAGCTTTAAGATTTCTGGTTAAGCTTAATTCAATCAGTTCAATTTTCATTTTTATTTCTTTCTCTCTCTCTTTTATTTAATTTAATTTTTTTTTTTTTTTTTTTTGGGTAAAAAACAATAATAGTATTTAAGAAACTAGGCTTCCCACTATTGTTTGATTTGAGCCATTAATGCAACTATAATGAGAGTACCAATTGTTACAATGCACCTTCAGACAAGAGGGAGAAATTAGCATACTTGTATCTTTAGAGCCTTCTTATTAGAAAATGGTCATCAGTATGTCTTCCTTGAAGAGTGGCGAATGACCAAAAAAAAAAGAAAAAAACAAAACAAAACAAAACAAAACAAAACAAAAAAATCAGCATTTCCCATGGTGAGGGTTCGACTCGAGCAAAATAGGTGTGTTAAGTGACGTGGATGAGTTTCTTGCCAATGATTAAAAAAAAAAAAAACATACCTAATCAAGTCTCCATTGCTCCCATGTGTAACTTAGCCACCTTCTCTTCCAATGCTCCTTTCACGCACCCATTTGGGCATTTATACAAGCACCTTGTGGTTTCCATGTTCTCCCAACTCATGGAATGAACTGGTAGCCTGGGGGCATCACACCATTGGAAGGGTAATTCGCGGGATTACAGAGCACCCACATCTCGTCTGGCACTTGCATCCCTTGGGCAGAGCGTAATTGCAGAGTATTCGAGAAGAAAAAGCTTAGGGAAAATTCTCATCCTCGAATCAACCAGATTAAAATTGATGGCTGATACACCCATTGATACTCCGATTGACAGGCTATTGTATGCGAATAGGATATTCCTTGCTCCATCCTTCGTCCTCCACCGCGGCCTCCGGATTGAAACTTCAATGGTGAATAAATTCACTCTGCAATTGCCTATAATTGCTGTATCACCGGAATAGTGACTGCACTGGTCATGGTTGGTTACCTTTCGGCTTTTTGGGTCCATTAGTTGGGTTCCATGTAGCAAGGTCTTGGACACGGATACCGATAGATAGACACGATAAATTTTAAAATAGTAAGACACGTATAGCTTGGACACCACTGTATATATAAATATGAAAATTTATTTATTTGGTAATAATATTATAAAACTTAATTCATTTCTAATTTTTATATTAAGGGTGTAAGGACTTTTATATTATATATATAGTTATTCCACTACTTTGTCACAGTATTTTTATTTTAAATGAACAAATATTATATAATAATTCGCTTTTGATTGTATGTGTATAATGTTAATTTTTCTGCAAAAAAAAAGTTGAATACTTTAAAATATATTAATATTATTTTTAAGATTACCAGTTCGACTTGTATTATAAATATTTTTGAAATGTCGGAAAAGTGTCCAAAATAATAAAAATTTATTTTTATTTATGAACACGTATATGAAGTGTAGGCTACGTATCTGAGGAGTGTCGGTATCCGACACGGGTACGACTCCTTCCTAGAAATGTACGTGTTTCATATTTTAGGTTGTATATACTATATACTTAATATTAATATAATTTTTTTATCTTTAAAATAAAATAGAGAAATTAGATAGTGTAGAAATGAGAGAGTGATTGAGCGAGGAATATCGAATTCTAGGTCAGAGAAACATAAAGGACTTAAAAGAAAGTTTTTGTCAGTAAAGAGAGAGAAATCGGAGTCAAAATGGAGAGAAAGTGATCGAGTTAAGAGAGGGTTTGGTGAGACAATAAATTGGCATAAGTTTGTTGTATGTCCTGGTCGAAGCATTAATTTACAAAAAAATATGTAAAATGAAATCGAAAGGATGGCTAGAGAATTATTTTTCTTGAAGTTTGAATTTTCTTTATCCCAATGCAATGATCTGGTCAAAGAAATGCAATCTTTCTTCATCACCCAAAATTAAAGCCTTCTCACAAAAGAATCTCACCATCATGAATGAACAAAATAAAAAGGAAAAACAAAATCGTATTTTATACATAACACTTAAATTTTAGTCCTTTAACTTGTCAAAAAATATAAATTCAATACTTAAATTTTTAATCTTATTAAACATCACCTAATTCACAAGTGTTGGTATTGAGTGTCTTGTTGAAACTTGTTCTTCGGTCCAAACGTGTTCGTGTTTAACTGCCTTATTCAATTGATTTTCGGTTAAGCTTAACTAAATCAGTTCAATTTTCATTTCTCTCCATCTCTCTTGTTAAAAAAAGATTAATACTCCCTCTGTCTCAAAAAAGATGTCCTGTTTTGAAAACCGTAACTCACAATCTGTGTGTCACGATTTCCAAAACACTTCTTAAATACTACTCCCTCTATCCAAAAAAACATGTCATGTTTTAGAAACTGTGACTGTGAGTCACGGTTTCTAAAATAGGACATCTTTTTTTTTTGTGAGTCACGGTTTCCAAAATAAGACATCTTTTTTTTGTGAGTCACGGTTTCTAAAACATGACATCTTTTTGGGATAGAGGGAGTAGTATTTAAGAAGCTAGGCTCCTCCACTATTATTTGATGGTCTTTGTGAGTTTTCTATGTGAATTTTGTGCTATAGTATGCTAATTGTGTCTTTATTTTGCTAATTTCCCTAGATATATTTATTTCTTGTTAGTTTCTTGCTTCTTGGATACCAAAGTGATGAATTCATGATCGAGTTGTGTTAAAATTTGGCTTAACATACTCTACTTGTTGATAATTTGACAATCATATGTGATTATGATCATGCTTGTGCATTTAAGCTTATTTTCATGATATATAGTTGTAAGTGGAGTAATTCACACTCTTGTTGCTTAATTTGATATTATAGCATATCTAATGTTAGAATATATATATTGTTATCATGTATAGGTTTACCATATAGGGTTTAGGTTTACTTGCTCTCCACACATGTAGTCTCCTATATAAACCCCTATGTATTCTCATATTATTCACATCAATATAATACCGAGTTCTCTATTCTCTCTTTATTTCTAACATGGTATTGGAGTTTTTCGATTATTGGTAAACAGTTTATCAGTTTATTGTAGTCATTAGGGATGGCACCATTAGCTCCATCCTCGGCGGTGGTCAACCAGTAAACTCACGTTTCCACACTCTAAGATCTTCATATGCCCCCGTCCAAAGAAGCCTCGTTGTCTAAGTCTTCTTTCGAAAAACCCAACGAGATGCCTCGTTCAGAGAAGCCCTGCCTAGGATGCCCCGTATAGGGAAGCCTCGTTGTTTAACGAAATGCCTCGTTCAGAGATACTCAACGTGATGGATCAGCTTTGTCACTACACCACCATGCGCCTCAAGTGGTAATCCTACTCTTCCATGTGCTTTCACGCGCACCAGCGGTAATCTCACACCTCAACATGTCGGATCATCTTCGTCACAGCACCACCTCGTGCCATCAATGGTCATTATACGCTTACACGCGCCTTCAACGAGGTGAATCTTCATAAATTCATCACCCATCAGTTTATAGTTATTACCACCGGGGACGGCAATGTCAACTTATTCACGTTCCGCACCTACCTCCAAGATCTTCACAGATCCACCCTACGTCACCTGACATGTCAGCATTGGTGCAACATTAGACACATTCTTCAATGGTACCAGTAGTTGTGCCACATTACCTACCACGTCAGTTGCCACGCAGCAGAGGTGCCAGCAGTAGTGCCAAGTCACCTGCAACTTTAGTTGCCATGTCATCAATCATGTTAACGTCGGTGCCACGTCAACCACATTAGGGTGAAAGGATTATATATGTTCAAACTCAATATGGCTTCATATAACCCACCTTGACTTTGAGGGGGCTGTTATATATATATATATATATATATATATTGTTACTATGTATAGGTTTATCATATAGGGTTTAGGACCACTTTAGGTTTACTTGTTCTCCTCACATGTCGTCTCCTATATAAACCCCTATATATTCTTATATTATTCATATCAATACAATATAGAGTTCTCTACTCTCTCTTTATTTTTAACATCTAATATGTTTGGTAATATGGTTACTAACTTGTTAGCAGGATACTATGTTATTGAATTTGGTATTGGAAAGCATGATCAATACAATGTTATAATCATTTGATGGAATCCATAATAATTTGCGTAATGAACATGTTGTGCTCACTCATCACACATGCATTATGTGGGGGTGTGTAGTGGTTTATATGTAGGGATAAATTTTCAAAGTTTTGTGGACCAATGTTTGTGAAAAATCAAAATTGTCAGCAGATACCGTTTCTGGGTAGGCTAACCGACCTAGAGGGTTGAGTATTCTAGGCCCCAAATGGTGTTAAAGAATTCTATCCCAGAGATAGATTACCAACTTGCTCGTGGTGAAGACAGATACCTTACCGAGTCGTTTTGACGGTTTTGGTGTGGGTCAAGTCGGGATGAGCATGGTGGTTGGTGTATGTGAATTCATGACATGTATTATCCACCTAGCATTGAAGCATATTGGTTCCTTATTTTTTATGTCATACTTTATAAGATTCTGTTATATGATTAATGATGCTCACACATTAAATTTTAAGAATTTTCCCTTCAAATAATGATCCCTTTTTCCTATATTCCTCTTCTCTGGAATGGCTATAGGAGGTGTGTGTTAGAGCATCTCTAATGTTAAAAGCTATTTTCGCATGCCAAATTTATATTTTGACAGGTGTTACAGTGTCAAAATGCTACATTTTAGCAATTCTGTTCCAATAACGCATTTCATGCAAAATGCTATTTTTTGACACAACCATTATTTTTTTTCAACTACCATTCCCACTATTCATATTTGCATTAGTAATATTAATATTAGGCACATTCCATGTCAAATTGTAGACATTAGAAGGAAACTAAAATTAAACCTAATTAAAAAGAAGCAAAAATCTAAAATAGTTAATTGTGTAAAATTAAACCTAGTTCTTGTGATTCTACTGAAAATCCAAATGAAACTGGTTGGGACAGTCAAGTCAATTCATCAATTCCTATTACAGAGAACACAACAACTGAATTAGATGAATTATTTCTTCCAAGTCATTTTAATAGTTAATTGTGTAAATATAGTATAGATCCTCGTCCAACATAGCTTAAAAGTTAAAAGATGATCTAGTTGAAAATAATTGTGTGTGTGGTGCGTAGAGAGAGAATAAATAATTGAATCTCACTTAATTAATCTGATCTATTCACTACAATGTTTTACCAACATTAAAATAGCAAACCAGCAAACATCTAGATTCTATTCCAAAAAAAATAAAGCATCCATATAATTGCATAAACTATTAGCATAAGTTCAACATCCATACAATTGAAGCTTATCCAATAACAAAAACACATTGATTTCCCACAAGATATGATTCTTGGCCAGACAGCAGCATAATAATACACATAATGGAAATTAATCCAAAAATCACTTCATATTAATACACATAATGGAAATTAATCCAAAATTGACTTCATATTAGGAGGCTGGAGCTTAAATTAGCAATTACCCAATAAACATACTTGTAAAACAGATCATTAAGTATCAAAACCCAATTGGGAAATCGCAGAAAGAATACCTAAAGGAAGCCAATCAACAAATCAACACTGAAATTGAATTGAAGACTGCAAAATACATATACACACACATGGAAATCAAATCAACACAAAACATATGCACAGAGAGAGAAATTTGGATCCCAAATACAAAGCCCATGCTGGATTTTTAGAATGAAATTGAAATTTTTTAAACACTGGGCAGAGCAAAAACAACTAGGGAAGTAACCAAACTAACTAACCAATTTTGGGAATAATCATCGCAACCATTACAATGAGTAGAAATAGAAAACAAATATAGAATCAAGAAACAAAATACTAGTGCTTTCACATACCAGTAAAATTGAAATAATACATGAGGTTTGTGAAGAATTTGCAAATTAAAAGATGATGAAAACTTACCCCAGCCTTACCAGGGATTATGCACTGCCACACCATCAGATTCACTGAACCATCGGGAAAAGTCTCTGGCTTTGTAACAAAACCCTACAATCAAACTCCTCGATTATAACGAATTCCGAAAAGCTAATTCAAAATTAAAAACGAAAAGAGAACCTAGATTATATACAATCGTTATATATAAATAGAGAGAGGGGTGAGGGGTGGTGTGCCGAACATGAGGGTGATTCTTCCGCCATGCTTTTCGCTCCTCGGCAAGATGACCACGCGCAATACCTCCAGACATTCTTCAGTTTCTCTCTCTAAAATTCTCTATTCTATATATATATATATATATAATTTTTACAGAAGAAAAAGAGCAGCCCTCTCTCTCTCTCGTCCTCCTCGTCTGTTGCTGCCCTTCTCTTCTCTCTCTCTGTTGCCCTAGAGACATATGAGCGAAATAACAATAGCCATTTCTTGTGCTACAATTGGTACTAGAATTGGCAAAGTTAAAATTTGGCAAGGGAAATGACAGCCCATTGGAGAGCCCAATTGAAGCCCATCTGCTATATTTTACAAATAACAGCCCAAATAGCATTAGGTTGGAGATGCTCTTAGCCACTCTTTACTGGGCAAGTGTTGCTTATCCTATAATATTTTCAGGTAACGGGAAGAAAGTGGACGAATCCACAATCATAAGCTTATAGACTCTTGGTTTATCTTTTGTGCTTGGGTAAAAGCCTGATTTGTATCCGTTCATGATTTGAGTCCTATGGATCAGGGTCGTGAAATGTAGGGTTTGTAAGAATTAAAATTAAAAAAAAATTCACCTAGATTTTAAAAGGGTAAATTACATTGGCGTGCTATGAGGTACAAATAAATTACTTACTAGTAGAATGTTTATCGTTTATTATTTTGACCTCCCCTAAACCTGTTTGCCGACTGCCACAAGGTGATTTTGAGTGTAAAAAGTCAGTAATGCCATTATATAATATAATATATTATATTAAAAATATTTGTTAATCTGAAAATTTACGTGACACGTGTGTAATTTATTCAAACTTTAGAGGAGGTTAATGTAATTTACCCTACTGTCTTTTTATACAAGGAAAAGATAAAATTGTCATTTTATAAAATTTGGACCAGAAGAAAAAAGGTAGGGGTGTTGTTGAACACACATGCCAAATCATAGTAGAAATTAAAATAATAATGCTCAACTACCTAACCGTGTGTACTTTGCTGTAACGTTTCCAATTTTTATCATTTTCCATTTTCTGGGATTTTTCTGATTTTCTGGATTATTTTAAATCCTTGTCTCGTTTTACATGCCGGACATCATTGGGTGTGTCGGGTGTGTTTGAGAGCTGGCTGGAGCATTTCCCTGAGTTCAGGACTCTTGGAAATGCATTGGTTGCCATTTCGGTAATTTTTTTTTTTGTTTTTCAAATTAGGAGGTCCTAGGTGGGACCTGCTACTGGGGTTGTTGTGCACAGGGATTGTGTCATGGGTCCATTGCATTTCTTACATCATTATTTTGTGTACATTTACCTAATTGTATGATTATTGGTGTGGTGATAAAGTGGTTACTATATATATATATATATATATATATATATATATATGTTAAAAGGGGTGAGATATTTATAAAGCTGATGGGACCCACTAATGTTTTCCATTTTTAATGGCCATAAGGCCATTTCTGCTGACTCAGTTCTCTCACTCTCTCACACCACTTCTCCCTCCCTCAAATTTCTTTTCCTTTTTCTTTTTCTTTTTTCTTTCTTTTAAGCTTTAGATTTCTCCTAAATTTTTCGGCCAATCGGTAGGGTTTCTGGTCTTGGTTCCTTGATGGAAAATATTCTTCTCGTTGTTCTCTATTACATAGTCAAATGATTTAATTTTTGGAGGAGAGGTGATTATTTTACGAATTTTTGAAATTTTTAGTTCTAAGGCTTTGGAGGGGATTATGGGTCACTTGGAGTCGGATTCTGGAGACACGCCTTTGGAATAGTAAAATCTCCTCGTTGTCGGCTACGTACCCACCAAACAATTTTCCGTTACGCCATTGTTGACCGGCATTGACGTTGTTGATCAGCGTTGACTTTTCCGACCGGGGATGCATTTTGGCTACTTTTGAGGTAGGAGTGTTTAATTTCTTTAATCCTAGTGAATTTTTCCCCTTAAATATGCTTATAAACATATTTAATTTGATTATTTGACCTATGGTGTTTAGGGTCTTATATGATAATGTGAATTATGTGAATAATTGGCTCAATTACATATTCCTTGAGTTGATGTGATGAAAATATATTCAATTTATACCTTGATTTGTTCAATATGTTTAAATTGTTTATTTAAACATGAGGTATGTGTATATTGTTGAGAATTATTGATTTACTTCAGATTTCATTGTTAATATTAAAATTGTGTAGCATGAAACATTCATGTATTCCATTGGGAAAGGAAAAGGGGAAAAATATTTTTGAAAAGCAAAATAAATTGTTTTGGGATAAAAAGTTTTGGAAAAGTGTTTGCAAAAACCCAGACGCCTAGTGGTCTGCGGCATTAATGTAGTCTAGAGGGGACTAAGGAGAAACCTTAGCGTGGTTGAGCTACCTAGGCCGGATACTATGCTTAGGCGTTGCTTTGTGGTCGTGGATAGTTAGCCAATCCTCTTCTCGTGAAGCCTTGGAGTCTCCTTGGGTCGGATTGCACTAACGGTTTAGAAAGGTGAAACTGTATTATTTCGGAAATGGGGAGCGACATTTCATGGCATGGCATATCATTGGCATATATGGCACACTTGGTAGTCGGATGATTTTTGTATGTATTTGTTGATATTATTACTGTTTTACTTGCTTCCCAAGGCATAATCTCGTTCACTTGTATTCTATTCCTTATGTGGGTTCACGGGGTCGTAAGAGGTGTGTTTTAGACACATCCTACTGAGCGGTTGGCTCACTCCATCATATTATTACATTTTTTAGGTCATGGGAAGGAAGTGACGGATGACGCTCCTCCACAAGTTTGAATGGGTTAGTAGACTATTTTGACATCTTTTGTATTTGTGATATAATTTTTTTGTATAAGCCTTGGGATGGCATGCATATCATGTATCGACGTTGGAATTGACCATAATATCTTTACAGAACCTTAGGTTCGGGTAAGGATCCGGTTAGCAATTCAAACCCTCAAGTTCGGGTCGTTGCATTTACCTAAACTTTACAGGAGGTCAGTGTAATTTACTCATTGTAAAAAGTATTTTAAAGAAAAAAATTTCAAAGAAAAAAAAAAAAAAATCAGAGGCAAAAAAATGGTGACAGTTTTGAAAAAATAATTGATGAGATTTGAAAAATAGCTAAGTGAAAAGATTATACCTTTTAACTTACTAATCTCACCTCTCTACAAACCTCCTTTTACCTATCTACATATATATATATATATATATATATATATATATATATACATGTAAGCACAAAATTTATTTCCTTTTCAATCTTTTTACACCCGCACATAAAAAGTACATAAGAAGTAATTCATCTCATTTAAATTTGAGTTTATTTCAAAAACACAAACGTAATTCATTTTTAATTCCAACTCAAATTCTTTTCTAATTTCAATTCCAAATTTAATAATTTAATCGGCTTAGTAATTAAAAAGAAAGCCAGGTTAATCTTCATTAATTACTCATTTTGCATGGCTAGAGTGTTTTTAAAAAGTAAGATTGGTTAAAATGTAAATATGAACTAGCGGACCAATGGCATAGCGGTACCAGACATCTGTTTTCTAAAGAGAGATTAGGGGATTCAAGTCTTAGTGGATGTATGTGTGTGTGAGTACTAACTAAAAAAATAAATTAAAATGTAAATATGAACAATTAATTGATTTTTTTTTTTTTTTTTTTTTTTAAAAAAAATGGTGTTCATTAACATAAAAAAATTTTGGTTCAAAAATAATTATAGTTGTTGTTGTGGAGTAGATTTAATTACCTAATTCTTTAAATGATAAGCTAATTATTTTTCAAGCTCATTAATTATTATAATTTTTGAATTTTTCATTGCTTGGTCGATGAAAAATAATATTACTCTCTTAAAATTTGAAAAAAAAAAAAACATTTATGGCTAGTCGCGCTTGCATAAATAATTTAAATAATTAATTTTGTTGTTTCTTGAACACAAGTGGTAGTTTATTGAAGTAGATTTCTTCATCTAAGCAAAAACTCTTGAGAGATCTTCACAAGAAATGAACTCTTCTCAGGCGTCCACATCTAGAAAAGAAAAAAATTAAGATGAGATGCCCAACTTAAATACTTATATGAAATGTTTTCTCAATCAAATGGCTGCAAAAGGGAAAACAAATTTTAATATTTCAGGGTAGAAGCTGAATTCTTGATTTGATTGCTTTTGTTAATTTCTCTTTGTTTACCGCACGTTGAAAGGTGACACAACCCTTTTTTTGTATAAATTAAATAGAAAATTGAGCCCATGAAACAATGAGAAGTTCAGATTTGTGAACTGTTGTCTCTCCAATGCTGTGCTTGAAGTTCTTCTACATGCATAGCTGAATGCCATATGACAAAGACATGTAAGATGTCGGTTTTAGAGGGCGAGTCTTGACACAACGGGAATATTGCTCTATTATGATCACGAGTTCGAAAGAAGGAAAAACATTACAGTGCATTGGATATGCCATTTCCCTATGTAATATGTTGGGATTGTTACCATTCAGTAACTGAGTTTTGAATTTGTTCACTGCCAAAATGAAATCAGAGCAGGGCATGTGCCTTTTGCCTTCACAGTGGGAAGGGCAAAAGTCTAAATCTGGTTATCCTTATAATTATGGATTTATGTATTCTACTGTATTTTTCCACACATATTGAGTTAAGCTCATGGTACTTGTCCATGTGATTAAACCAGCAAATGATGATTGCCAAATACATACATACACAAACACACAACACAGACACACAAAAACACACCCATCCATTGCTGTCTACAAATGCATGATACCCCATTGATGAACATGCTTTTGAACTAAACATGATATTTCTACAAATGTAGATGATGTTTATAGCACTTGGATTGGAGCAAATTTGTTTTGGGATTTGAAATTGGAAAAGAAATGGGATTGAAGAAAAAAGGGCAAATTTGATAATTTAAAAGCTTACAACTAAATAAATTTGTTCTAATAAAATTTCACCAATTTTCACGGGATTTGAGGACACTATGTTTTGGAGTTTCAAATTCCGTGAATCCAATTCCATTTTAAATTTGATTCCCAAATCTAGGAATTCCATTTTGAATTCCAATTTCACCAAATCTGAGCATTTCAAACAAAGTCTGTGGAGCTATTAAATTAAGGTGGTAGTTGCACATAAATTTACCATGTGATCAACAACAATCAATAACTAAACAAAAAAAAAATTAGGTGCTAAAAGGCAAACCATCTGATATTAAAAAAGGTCATCCTTTAATTTCCAAACTTTAAATAAAGATTGGCATACAAAAAATTAAGTTTCTTATGATTACTGACCTCTTTTATCCCTATCCCACCAAAAAAATTTAAATTTGAAAAGAGAGAGAGAGAGAGAGAGGGCCATGACCTTTTTGGCCTTTTTTTTTTTTTTCACCATTTATCTAAACTCTACATTTTACTTAGAAAATTAAAACAAATAATTTACATTTTTAATTCCCCCAAGATATTAATTACCTCAAATTAATTGGAGTCTGTCTTGTTCACACAGTGGTTGGTTGAAGAAAATGATTGTTGGGTATATGAATTTGTTGAATCTTTAAACTTTTGAGTGCCACCCCATGAGCAGCAGACCTCCTCTTCCAAAGGTTGACTTCATCACGGCCCTCCCCGGGTTGTTGCACCTTCTTGATCACCGGCAATGGTGGATCCATCTCCGCGACATCCACCACCGGATGAACATAATTATTAGTTCTTCTTTCATAATTATTAGTTCTGGTTTCATCTCTACACTTGGACCTTCTTCTCGGACTACCCATGATCATCATCTCTCTTCTACAACTTACACCAGTACTACTAGTTCTAGTGGTGGTGGTGGCTGTGGTGGAGAGATTTTTGGTAGAAAAGAGCCTTTTGAGCTTGGAGTATGGTGTGAGGTTGTGGTTGTCTTTGGTGGTGGTGGTGGTGGTGGTGGTGGTGGGTCTGGTGGGAGTTGCGTAGGCAATGATGGTGGTTTTGTTGTTTCTGATCTTGACTTGGCCTACACAGCTGACTCTCGGCGACGAAGGGTCCTTTGAGGAGGAGGTGGAGGAGGCGGAGGAAGAGGTGGTGGAGCGGTCGTGCCATCGGGAGAGGTGGACATCTTTGATGGATGGGCGTGAACACAAAATTGGCAAGTATGTGGTGTTGTTATGGAGGTTTTGATGATGATGAAGATGGTGGTTGTATCTATTCCCCATTTTTCCTAGCCTCTTGATCTTGATCTTGATCCTGGTACTACTCTGTGTGTGTGTGTGTGTGTGTGAGAGAGAGAGAGAGAGAGAGAAGTGGTGGAGATGGTGATGGATGAGAGGAGTGGTGGATTGGAGGGTTGATCTTGTAAAAGACTTTCTTATATGCGTGGGGGGAGAGAGAGAGAGAGACTTGATTTTGTCAAATGTAGTTGTATGTTTTGGACAAGGCTATTTCTGTAGGAGTATATTTTAAGATAACATTAGAGTAAAGTCCATAGTAAAACCTTATAAGAAATATATAGAATTTTCTTTTAAAAATCAAATGAGCAATGGATTGTTATTAGTTTACCCCTAAGAGAATGTTATAAATATAAAATATGAAGTTATTCCCATACAAAAATAGTGACACTTGAACAATTATTGATTGAGTTATATAATAATGTTTTTCTAATTTGACAAATTAAAACGATGGCTACAAGGGCAGAATGCATATTAATTAATTTGCTGTATAAGTCCAATGTGTCTATGATGCATTTGTCTCCTTGAAATTGAATGAGTCATGATTTGGATTGAAGTTTTGAAATTTGTATGCTGAGACATTTCAGTTGTTCACTTCCACACCCGAAAAATAAGAAAGTATTGAGTTTGGTGGGAGACAATTCCTAGGGGTGAGAGATGGGGGAGATGAAAACCATTCTCTAGGTTTTGGAGTCTTCTGCAATCTTCATGCACATGCCTGAAGGCTACTTTGTTGGCTTTGAATCTTTTTGATAGACTAGCCTTTCATACAAAAGGGCATTTTAGTAAAATAGACATATTATATTATTTATGACTTAAAATAATTTTTTGTGACCGCGTCTCAATCCTATGATAGAAAAAGTTCAATCCTATTATAGAAAAAGTTCGATATTTATAAAGGGATGTCTCCTACCAACACACATGCATATAAAACGGACAATGTCTTCCTAAGTATGAAATGTTAAATCTTGATTTTTGGTTTAACCTAATGTTGATGAATAATGTAGAGTCTAATAAATACTGTATATTGGTTTAATCCAATGTTAATGGATAATGTGAAGCCTGATAAATACTATATACTTTGCCGAGCACAATACAGGATATTTTGACAATTTCTGTACTTGTTATGTTATCTTTAAAAGGTTTAAAAGAATGAGAAAATTATGGCATAGCCTTTCCATTGAGTAAAATCATATATATATTTATATATATATATATAGAGAGAGAGAGAGAATAACTGAAATTCTATTACAAGTAAAATTTTACAATAAGAAAACTAAATAACATCAAGAAACTACCAGATAAGTATAAGAAATTAAAAAATGTGAGATTATCATATTTTAACTAAGTCAAATCTTACAATAAGGAGACTAAATAATAATTAGGAGACTAGCTAGATAAGTATAAGAAATTCAAACTAAAAAATCCTAAGAATCTAAGATTATCAGATTCTAAATAAGTAAAATTTTACAATAAGGAAACTAAATAATAATTTAAAAATCATAAGAATGCGAGATTATTAATTTTAACTGAACAATAGTAAAAATTTGTGTGCATTTATTGTGTATTTGATATTCTTTATGTGTTTTCTGTTTAATTTCGCAACAAATACTCGTAGTTATGTTTGGCTGCAAGAAATTGAAGTCTTAGAATTGAAATTGGTAGAATTGAAAAAAAAAAAAAAATTAGTTTAATTTTTTAAATTACTATTTTCAAATTTTACCAATTTTAATTTTAAAACTCTAATTTTATAAAACCAAACGCAAGTTAGTATGATTAAGAGGTGGATACAATATATAAATGAAACTATTTATAACAAGATTGTAGGCAAGACAAGCAGTGGATAATGACTTTTTTGTTTTATGAAAAAAGTCTGAGATACGCATCTTAAAATATATAAATAAATACTTGACACTAATAATGACTTTTAAATTGGATGGTCGTGATTTGGCTTGAAATTTGAATGCTGAGACGTTTTTGTAGGTCTCCTCTCCCATACCCAAACAAATATATAAATATATAATTTAGTTTTTTGAGAGATTAATTTACCCAAGCGAGATATGGGGGTAGGAAAACCATTAATCTGGAGTCTTCTGCATTCTTCACGGGCATGCCCGGAAACACTTCGCTGGCTTTGATAGGCATTGCCTTTTCATACAAAAGGACATTTTAGTAAAATATTCATATTGATAGCAAATAATTCACGGGTGTCATCAACACCAATTATGTTTTGTAAGTTTGTCACATAAGAACAGGGGTGATAATTTGCCCCGTGGGAACGAATATTTGCCCTGCCCCGTTTATAATGATCTTAGAGAACCATTTAATGTAATTGGATGGAAATAATTTTTATTAGTAAAAACTCGCACGGGGACGGGGAAGGTCACCCTTCCCATCCAACTCCGTTTATATTTCTTATTTATTAATTTATTCTTATATATATATATATATATAAATATACATTTAAGTTATAAGTGTTGGAAAATATATGACAAAAAGAAGAAAAATTAAACCATCAAAAAATCTGAATGGAAGTTTATGAATTGATGGTTTTATAGGTCTTTCTGTATGAATTTCTCAATAAATTGTGCGTTATGCTTAGAAGAGAAAAGTGTTGAAAAATGTATATTTCAAATGACATTTAAGATATAATTAACCTTATACTAATATGTCATGAGATAATTAATAATATGCTAAAAATAATTAATTAAATATGTAATTCGATATTTAATTAAATATGTAAATTAAAATAATAATAATAAATAAAGAACCTGGACTACGACTAGTATTGAATACTATGTCATTAAGACAATTACAAATGGTACTGATGAACTCTGTGATGCTTGTCTCGTAGGATACAATGGTCTACAACCACCTGTAATAGCACTATAAACTCGTGGATACGGCAAACCTCCTCTGTGTAATACTCTCTCTGACTCAAAAATGTATCTTTCCTACATAAAGAATGAATTGGGTCCGATCCAAACCATTTGGCTTGGACCAATTGCAATATGACTCATTGCTATAAATGTTTGGTCCAATTGTTCGAACCATTTGACCATATAACTTGCAACCACATCCACTTAGGTTGGGTTCATGTTGAGAGAGGGAGAGTGAATGGAAAAATGAAGGAATTGCAAATGGCAGCTCAAGGGGGTATTTATAGAAATAGAAATGCCTTTTCGGATTGGGTGTGTCTCTTTATCATTGGACATAACTATTATATATGTCTCTTCATCATTGAATACAACCATTTATATGTGTCTCTTTGTCACTAGACACAATCATTTATGTGTCTATTTATACCAGACACACCCATTGTAATAGGTTGCAATGGTTTACATTGAATACGTTATGTCTATTGATTTTGGGTTGCATCTCTTCATCCCACAACTAATCAGTGATCACACTTGTTCAGTCAAAGGCATCTGTTGATAACTAATGAAACTATTTTCATTCAAAATTTCTAACAAAAAGAACCCTAAATCCTAATTTCACCATATTTTTCTTCATTTGTTTGGTCTTGTTAGATTTGAGTGCAGAAGTTAGGGAAACAAATTAATGGTGGGAGTTTGGAAGTAAATGGGACAGGGCGGGTGCCCGCGGGGGTGAGAAAACTTAAACGAGTGGGGTATGGGGTAGGAGGGTACCTCGTTTAGTTCATTTTCGGTGGGGGCGGGGGCGGGGGCGGGGCGGGGTAACTTAAACGGGGATAAGGGCGGGAGATGGTACATCCGTCCAAAACTGCCTGTTTGCACAAAGTAAAATGGATTTATATTTTATTAGACCCTATGATTAAGCGTCAATATATAATCAATCTTTGGTGATGCCATGCCATTAATATTGTAGCAGTATGAATGTATTTTTCTACGTTAGCTTACATCGAGTGGTCGAATGATCTCACATTAGTTAGTGAAGAAAGAAGTCTCAGACTTATACAAGATAAGGGTCATTCTATCTAATAGGTTAACCTTTTGAATTAAGTACTCCATCACAACAATTGGTATAAGAGCCAAGTCCAAGAAATTGTATGTGGACTCAAGATCCTTTAGCCGATGGGATGACCGGTGACGTTATATCTATCATAGTGCTTCATTTGAGAGGACATTGTTGGCTAATCGAACAAGTTTCACATCGATTAGCTGACGGATGACCAGTGACGTTATATTAAATTAACATTTTGAGTTGGATTCCCCTAACTCAATAACCTAAGACTTCTAAATATTTCTCTAAATCTTTTTATCAGAACACACACCAACAGAACTACTCATAACTCAAATAATGAAATATAATTTCTATGAGGAAGCATGCCCTAATATATATATATATATATATATTGGTATTCTTTAGTTATTTGTTTATTTATACTTGTGCTTGCAACCAAATCATTATGCCAAATAATTTGAGACCTAGCAAATGAAAGGGTGAAGGGTCTACCCTTTCTTTTCTTCAAAGTTTGTCTGCATGAGAAAAGTGATTAATTACACATGGGTTCACATATATGATGACGTTTGTTTGTCTGCAGTTTTACAGTATCAGTATATCACCAACCCAAGTAAATTACAGTGTACAAAAATGCATCTCACCAGAAATTTTGCTTTTTAAAACAATTGTCTTCATTATATTTGGAGTATTATATATATATATATGACGACACTTGTTTGTTTGCAGGTTTACAGTATCAGTATATCACTAACCCAAGTAAATTACAGTGTACAAAAATGCATCTCACCAGAAATTTTGCTTTTTAAAACAATTGTCTTCAATATATTTGGAGTATTATATATATATATATATATATATATATATATGATGACACTCGTTTGTTTGCAGGTTTACAGTATCAGTATATCACTAACCCAAGTAAATTACAGTGTACAAAAATGCATCTCACCAGAAATTTTGCTTTTTAAAACAATTGGCTTCATTATATTTGGAGTATTATATATATTAAATAGTAGGAGGTTTAGAAGCAAATTGGAGTAACTTAAATGCATTAGTTTTTTTTTTTTCCTCAAAAACAATTTTATTATACACATATATGTATGGGGTATGGTAAATTTTTAACCCACAATAAAAAAAATTAATGTGGGTTTTAGTTAAAAAAATTAATTACATGAACAATGGGCCTCTTTTTTTTAGGGAAAAAAAAAACTTTTAAACTGTATTTT